GAAGGGGGTACAAAGGTAATTCAGGTTCCCAGACCTGCTGCCCAGTGACTCGTCTGCTTTGCCCCAGGGCCTCCCAAGAGAGACACAAACTCCAGCTGCACAAGGAGAAGGAGCAGAAACCCAGGAGCCCGACCCAGATGTGTGACATCTCAGTGCAGATAGAACCAGTGCACACCGATATTTTCCTGAGTAGCCAAGAGGTGAGTGCCCGCCCGGTCCTGGGCACCTGGGCGGACATGCCAAGGAAGAGCCCAACGGTGCCTTCCTTTTGCTTTTGAAAGCTCCAAAAAATAGTACTTGCTTATATGAAATGTGTAAGTAAAACAGCAGAAGACCCGCCTCTCCGATGGCGGTCACCAGGGGTTACAGCTGTCAACAGGTTGCACACGTACCGTCAGACCTTTTCCTCACAGAGACCACCACGTGCTCATGTAGCCATGACTGTGCCAGGGTGGGACCAGGCTTGGATCCGGGCCGCCTGGGTCCCAATCCCAACCCCTCCTCTCAGACACTGTAACCTCAGAAGGTTACTGTGAGCAAATTCCCTCGTCAGTAACAGCAGTCTGTAGCCACCTCATGGGGCTTTTGAGAAATACATTTTATTTATAAACACAAACGCACACAAACCTATATATACGTATATTTATTTCACAGATTATTTTTTTTGCAAAGTAATGGTATCAAGTCATATATACTTTGCAAATTGTTCTTTTGTTCCCAACATAACACTACTTAATGGACACCTTTTCAAGTAAGTACATAAAGATCTACCTCATTCCTCTAAATGGCCACATAGAATTCCACCGTGTCCCTTTTGTCCAAGCAGTCCCCTGCCGATGGACATTCGGATGGTTTCTGCTTTCGCAGATTGCTATAGTTGTTACCCTTCTGCATATGTAGAACGAGTTCCCAGATGTGAAATTCCCAGATGGGCCCAGAGGACATCCTAATGGTGCTTGATAGGGCCAGGATACTTTCCCAAGGAGCTCTGCCATCAATGCTCCATCGTGGGGACCTCTCTCAGGTACCTACCCAGAAGGCTTTGCGTGCCCAGAAGTCCCAGCTACGCAGCAAACAGGGCGTCTGTCTTTGAGTGAGACCAGCCTTAACCACACAGCCCTCGAAGGTGGCACTCAGGTTCTGCCCCCCTGTCTGGGGCTGCGAGGCGCCCATTGTCCGTGGTTGGCTGACTGTGGGTACGGTGCTTCCTTGAGGCCCCAGGTTTCCTGGAGTCCCCTTTTGTTTTATGAAATTAGAAAGCAGGGTGTTTCGGTAACGGACTTTGGATTTTCACTTGGAAACAGGGCCAAATGTGTCAGCTTGCCTTCCTGCTTCCTCAAAGATGCCTTTCTCCTGCCAAACAGCAGTGAGCCAGGCCCGCACACAGCTCCAACGAAAGGGCTTGGCGGCCCAGCCGCTGTCCTTGGCACCGACAGCTGTCCAGAGCACTTGAACAGAAGTGTCCCCTTACTGCTCAGGGTGGCCTGGAGCAGGGGTTGCAGTGGGTCCATGCAGCTAAGCCCCAGGGGGGCAGGGAGCAGGTCTCCCTCCTGCTGGAATCCCAAGCTGTTAGTGCAGAACCGGGCCCACATTCATTCGCTCATTCAACAACTATTGAGCACCTGCTGTATGCCAGGCCATGTGCTGCGCACAGGGAGGACGCACAGGGTCCCTGCCCACACCAGACCCCTCCCGACTCTGCACGTGTTTGCTGGGATGGATTGTTGACTGGTCGCCAGGATTGTTAGTTTCCATTAGGAGGCGGGATTAGCTGAGGAGGGGCTGGGGGGGAGGCTGCAAGATAAAAGGAAACAAGCATTTGTTTCTTCTCAGAATGGCTTCCACGCTTTGATCACTTCCTGCTTTCTAAGCCAGGGTGGGTCAGAGGGCTTAAGAGTTGTATGAGAAAGAATCTCCATCTTCTCTAAATAAACAAATTCCCAGAAGGGCCATGAGTAAGGGTCATGTCCGGCTCGGGCGTGCTCTTCATGCGGAGTAACGGCTGTCACTGAGCCTCGCTGCTGTGCTGCCCCCACCCACAGTGGCCAGTAGCTCCTGCCCCCAACACACACAACTGCAGGTATGTGCGTGTGCACACACAACACTTGAGGTATTTACTCCCAGGGCAAACATACACCATCAAAGAGACAGAGGCCAGTGCAGAACCAAGCGGGAAGTGGACCTGCCATACTTCCTGCAAGCAGGCCGGAGCCAGGACGGGGCCGAGTGGGTTCCTACTAAGTGCAGCTGGATGGAGCGACCCCTTCTCTCGACCCAGCTGGAAAGCTGGGCAAGCGCCTTCCGGCTCCTGATTCTGACCTTCTTTCACTCAGCCGCATATGTATTGAGCATCTCCTGTGCTCGGGGACAGCTACAGTGGAGACAGAGACTTTGCCCACATTCTAGAAAGGGACAGACAGGCGATAAACAAGTCAATAGCGAACAAAATGTCCGAGTGGGAGCCGCGCTCTGAGGAAATATATGGCAGGATTTGGGACAGAGAGTATCATGGTTGAGCGGGGAGGCTCCTTCCGATCAAGTGGACAGAAAGGCCTGTCCAGGAGGAGACTTGGAGCGCGGTGCGGAACCTGGAGGAAGGAATGAGTGGTGGGGACATGGGCGGGGGAGGACCAGCCCCAGGAGGACCTCAACCATGAGCCATGTACCTCCGATGACCAGTGTGGCCACTAAGGGCCAGGACATGTCATATAGGCCTTCAAGAAGCATTTGCTGCCTCATAGAAAGATCAAATGCATACCTCTTTCCTTCCCCTCTGCTTTGTTCTCCTGGTAGCATTTACACTTTCTGGAATTATTTATATGCTTGTTTGTTGTGCCTGCCCCACAGAAATGAGCCCCACAGCACAGGGCTCGTCTGTCTGGTTCCCCGATCTCTCCCCAGCGCCTAAAACAGTGTCTGGCTCTCTCTCTCTCTCTCTCTCTCTCTCTCTCTCTCTCTCTCTCTCTCTCTCTCCATATACATATATATCACACACACACACACACATACACACACACACACACATGTTCTGAATGTATAAAGTGAACCAAAATTATTATTTTAAAATTTGTTAAAAAAGAACCAAATTATCAGTTTCTTCCCTTTCTTGCCATTTTGCCTGGGGCCTCCCCTAGCAGGTTTACTAAACACCACTCCCAACACCCCTTCCCATTTCTATTTTTCTCTTGAACACCGCTGTCCACCATATATTTTCCGTGCTTATCTCACTGTCTGTCTGTCTGTCTCCCCACACTAGGCTGCAGAATGCATGACAGCAGGAATTTTGCCAGTTTTATTCACTGCTGTGTCCCCAGGGCCTAGACTAAGAGATGCTTGAAAAATCTTTGTAAAATGAGTGAGTGAGGGAATTGCTTATCCTAGAGCAGTGTTGTTTAACTTGGAGTCCATGACTGGGCTCCCCGAACCCCCAGAAGTTTTATGCAAATTATTGTGTGAATTTTTCTAAGGAAGGAACCCTGAATTCCTCCACATCCCAAAGGGGCACATGACCTTAAAAGAGGATGGAGACTGTTCCTTGTCTGTGCCCTTCATAAGCCCAGCTCTAGCCACGTGGCTGGTGGCGGCCATGTCGGATGGTGCAGGTACGGAATGTTTCTATTACGGCAGAAAGTTCTGCTGGACGGAGCAGTGCCAGGGGCTATGGACGTCTCAGAGGAAGGTTTTCCTTTCTCCAGACCAGCCAAGAGCCAGTCTATCAAATTCCCCCGGGCAAATATAAGACAGCATTTTTATTACCAGTTAAGAGGCAAGTATCATGTGTTCTCATCTAAAGATGCCCTTCCTGGAGCAGAAATTGATTGTTGTTCAGAAATGAGACCAGAATGACAACAAATGGAAACCCAAGCTTAGAAGAATATTAGAAGAAAAAAATAAAACACGGGAGGGAACAGAAAGGGGCTCTTTTATTTACAGTGATGCTAAGTAGGTAGGAAAGTTGGGTATCTTCCTAGATGTGACTTTATATTTGAAATGAAAATTTTAAATCCCTTATCGTCTTCAAGCCCCTTAACGGTATTTTCCAAAGGACTAAGTGACAAGGTTTCTGCTATACATAAACTGTTCGCATGTCTTCTAATATAAGAGAGGTATTCTCATCCCTAAAAGCTGCTCTTTGTACCATTCTGGCCACAGGAGCAGTCCTTCAGTGACCTGGGGGTCAAGTGCAAAGGGTCCAGACACGAGGAAATCATTCAGCGTCAGAAAAAGGCCTTATCCGAACTCCGTGTGCGAATCAAAGACCTTGAGAAGGCCTGCTCATCAAGTAAGTTTCCTCCTTCCTCGTCTGCCTGTCTGTACTCAGAGCCGTGGGCCCTAGACACCAGGGTTCACTTTGGGGACTGAGCAATTTGCCAGCTTCTATCCCTATAATTTCATAACCAAAAGGATGTTATAATACAACAACAACAATAAAAGATGGGCAGACATGATCTCAGAGTCAAGGGCAGGCCTTGATATTAAATAAATAGGATTTCATGAAAAACCCTCTGCATTGTCTTTCTTTTTCTCACTTCTCTGTGTCCCTATGGAAACTTGGTCATGGACTAACGCTGAGCAAGGATCAACCTTGAGGGGCCTCCTACAATACCCTGTTTAGAGGGGTGAGGGCTCTCCAGGTACCGAGCTTGCCGCTGGGTGGAGCACTGGGCTAGGACCCAGAAGCCTGGGTTCAAGTTCCACCCTCATTCCCGTGAGGCTCCATTAGTTGTGTGACCTTGGACAAGTCTGGTAAATAGTAGTGGTGATTATTACATGCAGTAACTTCTTCCTGAGCCTTTCTTTTGAGTCTAAATCATTTCTTTTCTAGATCATAAGGATCCCCTGAATGAATCATTTCTAGACTTAAAGACTCTCAGAATGGAAAAAAATGTCCAGAAAATATTGAACGCAAAACCTGATTTGCCAACTTTCTCAAGAATAGAGATCCAAGTGGTAACCCAGACAAGTTTGACTCCGCAGTGACTGACACATGGGAGGGTGGGCACAAGGGCAGGCGCCGTCTGTGTGCCCTGGCACAGCTGTGCATATCCGAGGTTCGGGGCCAGGTCCTGCCTGATGAGTTAGTGTCTGTACTGACTGGTCGGTGCCTTGTGTACCAGTGACCCACCGTTCGAACAGAAAGGCGGTATTCCATTGGTCCATAGCGTAATAGATCTCTGCATTGACATTGCTCCAGGTCAGCCTCTAGCGAGCCTGCCTTCTCACATCGTCTGTCACATTCTGCAGAAGCTATTCCGTAGGCTACTTTAGAACTATGCCCTGAGTTTGCCCAAAGTTTGCAAACTGTGAACTGAAAAACACGAACACCTAAAGGGCGGCAAAAGGGAGCCATGATTAAGGGGACACCAGTTTTAGAGCCAGAGAGACCTATGTTGAAACCCTAGCTCTGTAAGCTGTGTGACCTTGGGCGAGGCTATTAACCTTTCTGGAATTCCATGCCCAGCTATAAAATGATGGTGAAAAATTTAAAGGAGATAATTATGTAAAGTGCTTATCCCACTGCCTAGCTCATGGTGAACACTTAATAAATGATAGCTGTTATTGTTATTAAGTATTACTTAAATATAATAGTATTACTCAAGAAATCCTTCCTTAAAAAAAAAAAACAAAGAAAAACAAAGAAAGCCTTCCTTTCTCAGGGAGGATAGTTTTATTTGCCAGAATGTTCAGAAGTGATTTGATCATCACGTTGACGGCACCCTGTACCCTAAATGGATGTTTGAGTGTTTGATTGACACATGACAATGGACAGCTCAGGTCAGTGACAACCACAGGATCCATTGGGTGAGGCTAAACAGACATGGACTTTTAGGACAAATAAAGTCCTCCCATCTGTACCAACATTGTCCTCAACAGTTTCTAGACATTTCCTAGCGATGTAAGTCTTCAAAAACGTGTAGGTTTTCTGGATAAAATCAAATGCTCGTTCTCCGAGGCTGGCGTAAAGGGACAGTCTACAGGTGGAGAGCTCAGCTGGACCTCCTTCCCGTTGGCAATGACCTCTGATCCCACCACCGACACCACAGGTAGGAAACCTCCCGACTCTCTTAGAAGACCTCCATCCTCCGACGTTGGCTGTCATTAAGAAGGAAGAGACGGAGCAGGAGGAAGAATAGCTGACATCTGTTAAGTGCTGACTGTGTACCAGGCACTGAGCTAAGCCATTTACACTCATTATCTCACTGAATCCTCACAGCAGCCTTGTGTCACAGTTGCTATTAATATCAGTATCCCCATTATACAGATAAGAGAACATCAGGCTTCAGGAGGTCAAGTACTTTTCCCAAGGCCACAGATTAATGAATGATGGAGCCAGGTCTGTGTCCCTGGCAGTCTGCCGCTAGTACCTTGCCAGACTTCAGAAAAGGGAGTGGGGACTTTGAGAATGAACCCTGGAGCCCAGATTCTTAGGTGATCACCCCTCAGGAAAAGGGGGGACCCGGGGATGGGTGGAGACACTGAGCAGCATTTCAGGTTCTTTTCACAGCAGATCTACCCAGTTTATTGTCATCATCAAATACCCTCTTTTATTCTCATCTCTATAGATAAATCTGTCCACTCATCTATCACAGTCACTTTTTGGGCCACTGTACTTTTGTAATTGGGTTTGTTTTTTTTTAATCTCAGAGGTTTCCAGTGCAGTGCCAGCAAATGCTATAGGCTAAGAGATGCACATGGCAAGCACTTAAAACCTAATTTAGTTTTTTAAGGAGGTTTATTGTGGCTGTTTGTAGTCCTTCGGGCTCCTTGATCAGTCCAGTCCGGTGGCTTTTCCATGCAGCCGGTAGGGACTTTCAGCAGCCAGCTGGCTGACTCGGGTCCCAGCAAGTGCACAGATGCAAACACCATCGTGCGTTGTCTCTGGAAAGGGTGTGAAGGGACGCTCACCCACGAGGTTCCAGCACTAAGAGAAGGCTTGGCCAAATTTTATGAAGGCATAAAAACCAGATTCCTTTAATAAACGGATGCAGGCTATTTTCTTAACCTTCATTCATTGATTCATTCATTCATTCAACAAACATGCCCACTCCGTGCCAGTCTGCACCAGGTGCCATGGCAGGCACAAGAAACGGGACAGTGAGCAAAAGCAACACGACTCCTGTGTCCTTGGAGCGCGTCGTCTAGACCAGGGTTTCCCGTTCTCAGTGTTACTGATATTTTGGGGCCAGGTAATTATTTGCCGTGGGGCCATCTTGCGTTTCTGGGATGCGTGGCAGCATCCCTGCCCTCTACCCACTGGATGCCAGTAGCACCCGCCACCCCCAGTTTTAACAACCAAATATGTGCCCAGGCACAGCTAAGTGTCTGGGGAGGGGACAGCAAGGGCGGACAGAACCACCTCTGGTTGAGAACTGCTGGTCTAGAGGGAAGACAGACAGTGACCCAAGAACAAAACAAGTGATGTGTCGTTTTAGAGAAAGTCGTGCTCTGACGGTTAGGAACACAGTTACTAGAAAGCAGTTGACAAAAGACTCAGACTGGATGATAAAGAACTGACGTGAAAATCAGCTCTCCCAAGTTATTCGGCAGTAACCACACCGTGTTTTAACTTCTGGGTGCAGAAATTCATCATGGAATGCCAAGAGAGAGTTTTTATTTCCTTTTTATTTCAGCCTCAAAATGGCCTTGCCAACTCAGCGTCCATCCTAGCCACCGAGAAGCCAGGGAAACTGGACATGGCTGAGGCTTTGGATCTCAGTGAAAAGCTGGTATGTACAGACAGCCTCTGTCCCCCTCCTGTCCAAAGCTGGGTCCCCCGCAGTCAGTGTTAACCACGAACAGTTTCACTAAACATCAATGCTCCGTACCTATTGGCTGTTACAAAGGCTCTCCAGGGCCCATCTGCTTCCCCTGCGTGGGTCACACATGGCATAGCCGACTTCCTTGAAAAACAGGAATTAAAATGAGTGTTTATGTCTATTGACATTTCCCCCCCGGTTCTCCAAAAGGCGTCGTGTAAATGGATGTGGGGAAAAGGAAAGCCACACTAAAGTCCCAGTTGCACTAATTTCCAAAGCATATGTGTGTGCTCTGCAAGTACCAGAAATGAATGAAAGAGGGTTTGATGTTTACCCCCTTAAAGCGGCCGGCAGCGGCCTCAGGCCAGGCCTCTGACCTGTGAAACGCTTTCCCTGTAGTACATGGATATGAGCAAGACGCTCGGGAGTCTGATGAACATCAAAGACATGGCAGGTCATGTGTCCATGAAACACCTCTCCCCCAAAGAGAGGGAGAAAGTCAACCAGCTTCGACAAAGGGACCTCGATCTGGTGTTCGATAAGATCACCCAACTCAAGAACCGGCTGGAGCGGAAAGAGGACCTCTTGAGAGGCTATGAAAAGGACATAGAACAGCTCAGGTACCGCCCGCGTCCTCCCGGAGAGACCCAGGCCTCCATTCTCCCAGTTAAACCTCAGGCGCCTAGGACGGGGTCAAGAGGACAGAGGCCCGGGCGTGGAATAGCTCAAATATTGGGGCGGGCTAGGGAAGGAGGCAGGACGGTGACCGGGGTCTGAGGGAGGCAAGTCGCTGGGTGAGACAGCTGCCGCTGACATGCTCCGTGCCCTGATGCATAAGCTGCACCTTCTCTGAGTCTGTCTGGTGTTAGCGTCTGGGAACTTGTCATAGTCAATCCTGTCTTCAGTGGGTGCAGGTCTCCTTACCTGACTGGGAAAGTGGGAGGGCCTGGGAACATATTCTTTGTCCCCTCGTGCTACGTTTATTCAGCTGATCCGCTGTTGATTCTGCCCTCTACTCTCCAAATCATTGTCCCTCTCAGCCTGCGTGTCATGAAACCACAAAGTGGGCTGTATAGGGGACAGGTTTGAGACCCTCCCAGGTCAGGGACATTGGTGGTGAGCAAGAAAGGGGAAGGGAATGGAGACCCGGTCTCTCCCATACACTCAGGCAGAGCAAAGTGTCCGTGCAGATGTACGAGTCGCAGGTGGCCAGGCTGGAGGACAACATCTACAAGGAGGCGGAAGAGAAAGCGCTGCTGAAGGAGGCGCTGGAGCGCACGGAGCAGCAGCTGCACCAGGAGAAGCGGCTCCACAGGGCCACCAGGCAGCAGAAGGTGAGGTCTGGCGTGGCGCAGGAACACGGAGGCCGCCCCTCGGCATCGGGCAGAGGAAGGTGGCAGAATAGCTTTGGCATCAGGAAGACCTGTGCGTAGACCTTTGCTTTACCACCTACTGTGTAATCTCAAGCACGTTTCTTAATCTCTCGGAAACGCATCTGTGCTTTTTTGAATGGTGGCTATTATTTGTACTTTTATTGTTCTGCCAGGTCCTGAGGATATATAGATGAATAAGATCTCTGAGAACAGAGATATGGTTTCACTGCTCTGAGTGCCCAGAACATAGTAGACACCCAGTAAATATTTGGTAGATGGATGGATGGATGGATGGACGGACGGACGGTAGGACAGACAGGTGCATGAGAATGGATGGATGTCCTTGAAGAATGCATCCTTTAGTGCAGAACAGACAGGTAAAGACCTGACTTCAGGTGAGTTCCCTGCAGAAACCTGCCCTCCATCCTGCAAACCTTTCAGAGAGCAGGCTTCCTGGCTGGTAGCCCCAGAAATGAAAGCCACAGTCCTGCTCTGAGGGAGTACCGGATGTGGCATTTCTAGCATTCGCTGCTCTAAATTAAACATCACAGACCTCTGTCTGCATGTTTCATGGGGCTCCCTCAGGCAGACGACAGTTTCCTTTCACACCAAGCCACAGCCAGGGAGAGCTGGGCCAGTGACAGAGCCGTGACTTTTCCTTTGATATGCCCTCTGGAGAGCTCACCCCTTCTGAGGCACCCCCAGGGGTTGGCAGGCTAGGCCCCAAAGCAGAGACACCAGACCATGGAATGGGACAGCAAAGGGCCCAAAAAAGACCATTGTCATGTGCTGGCTAAAAATGTAAGAAAACCTGAGGATTTGCATAATCAGGCTTCATACATTATTCATGAGCTGTCTCATTCATACACACTGCAGGGGCTGTGCCAGCCTGTTGGGCACGAGACAGCCTTCAGTGGAGAAGGATCTGAAACGGCCAAGTTAAACCTGTGCTGGGGTTCCCCAGAAGAGCTAGAGCTGGGAACTTTCAAATTCATGGCACTCACAATTTAGGGAAAGATTTATAAGAATTATAGCCACACTCATGGCAACGCTGATGGCATTATTTATTGAGCCCTTACAGAGTGGCAGGCATCTGCTCCCCGCAGCACACACTTCCTCTGTCTCATCAGTCCTGTGAGGAATGCTGGTGAGTGTCAGCCCATTTGAGAGACGGGAAAACTGAGGCTGACAGAGGTCCATTTCTCCACGCCCACTCCTGTCTGCATCTTCCTCATGCAGGCATCCCCCTCACCTCCACTCACCGTGGCTCCTGGGGCTTTCACACCAGGACTCAGGTTTGCACTTAAGGTTTGCTAGTCATATGTTCCAGAAATTCCTGTTTGTCATGAAAGGAAATAATAATACATTTTAAAGTTTTGCTGGATTCTAAAGGGCACTCGTATACCTCTGTCTTCAAATCAGTTCCTTCCAAGGAGTATGCATTCATTTTTAAAATGGAAGTTAAAGGAAAATAGAATTCCTTTTTGCTTTAAGTTTGACTCCTAATATTTTCACAAGGAGCCTTAATTTATTTTTACTCAGTCTCCCATATAAAACTTCACCTGACCATAAAGATGTCATGGTTGAAGCACTGGGAAGTGAAATTACTAACCTTGAGCTTCAGAGCCACCACCAGCCTCCAAAAAAAAATGTTACTTGTAGCTTTACTGTTTGAACATCTCTTCACCGAGCAGAACTTTCCAGAATCAAAAGCCATACTTCCATACTAATACCTTTGGCTATGACAATGAGACTTGACATCCAAGGCTGGAAAAACCTCAGTGCTGACCATTCACAGAGGACCTTGTCATCAGCCTCCAGACGCCTGTGGAATGCCCTGGGTCCATAGCTCTGTCCACGTGACAGAGTGACAGTGACAGCGGCCAGGTTATGCTCAGTCTAGTCCACTCCCCACATCACTAGGGAAGGTGGCAGTGTCTCTCAGAGTTCACAGGGAGACTTCTGAGTCAAACAAATAGGGCTCAAGCCCCACCTCTGTCCATAAGTGACCCTGAATGAAGTGGCTTGACCTCTGTATATCAGGGTCCTCAGCAAAAACAACCAAAAATGGTAACGATGGGATCTACTTCATGAGGGCAGCGGAAGCGTTCAAAGACATAATGTTTGCAGTGCCTGGCATACAGCAAGCTCAGTTACTATCGGGGAGAGAAAAGGCAACTCATGGATGGGAGGGGACGAGTCCTGTACTTCTTTCAAAGAGCTTCCTGCCAGTTGACATGTCCAGCAAACCCTGAGCCACTTCCTGCTTTCTAGGTCCTCCCAAAGCCAGCAGGTCTTTTGTGAACCTCTTTTTTCTATTTGGTGAATACAGCTAGGGCTATGGCCAAGAAAAGGCCCAGATACTTTTTGTGAATGGGTTAAGGCTAGAATTTTCAATAGGAAATTTTAAATGCACAGAAGTTGCCATTTGAGAAGCACTGCAAGCTCTTTCTTAGCCCTTTCCTTGGGCTCAAAGTGTGAGAAAGGCTGAAGTGTCCTGGCAGCTTCAGGCTGCGGAAGCAGCTCTGCTCTCCTGCCCATCAAATCCTGGCCAAGGGGCATGGCCACAGCTCTGCCAAGTAGTAGGTCTCCGCCCAGCTAGAGCCCCTAACCTTCCCTCTGGTTATTTAGCTCAGAACCCTCATCTTTAAGATGAAAATAAAAATGACACCTAACTCATAACAACCCATTCAACAACAGCATGTATACAAAAACCTTAGCACATAGGACCACTCGATAGATGCTCTTATACCATCATTATTATCACCACTATCCTGTTTAACTCACTATTTTCCAAGATTTCCTTGGGTCCAGGTAGTCTCAAGATCCTGGTTCCCTCAGCGCCACTTGTGTGTTTTTGACCAAGGAGTACAAATTGGTAGATGTCGTGTAGGATGAGAATGGGATGGAGGTGGGACCCTCTGGCCCACACGAGAATGAAGAACTAAAATGTGGTTAGGGTGGCACAGTATATAGATAGAAGATGACTGAAGGAAAACACCTTCACTTGCCCCCCCCCGCCATCATTTGCCCACCAACTCCTGAATCCCAGCATTTCCTAGAAGCTCCTGAGGTGTGCGCCCCCCCCCCCCAGAATAGGACCAGTAAGGATACACTTAAACTCTCTCTTGCTCACCTGGTATTTTCACTCAGGGACTCTTGGAGGATCCCGAACATAAAAATGCAAAAGAATCAACACCTTGCAACTGTTCCTTCAAAGAGAGAGAGAGACAGGTACGGAGAGGTTTTTCTTATCTTACAGCCAGATGCAAACTCAATACAGTGTCTTCTCAAAGGGTAAAAGCTCATGGAGTATAAGTACCAGCATGTGCTGCCCAAGGAACAGCCACACACACACCCCCACTCGCGCCCCTCCCCCAGCCCAGCCCCTGCCCCCTCCGCTGCCTGCAATCTGAACAAATGACCTAAGAGACAAGCGAGCATCTAACCCAGAAGCTCCAGGTGAGAGAAGGCAGAGGAGAAGCGCAAATGTAGTTCTGGCTGACGGAGCAACCATCCTAGGCTCTGAATGATTTGGGAACTTGGAGACAGGTCATAAGAAGACGGGAAGGGTGGGGAACCCCAGGAACCCCTGCCCTGAGAATGAAATATGTGGGCGAAAAAAGGGGGAAGAGCGGGTCCAAAATGGAGCCAGGACTGAGGATGACCAAGTGCCAGTTGTAACGGCCTCCTCACCGGTCAGAAGGGGAGCCGCATTTGACTGTGGGCTTTCTGGCAGCCCATGGAAAATGGAAAACCAAAAATGGTCCAGAGTTCACGATGTCCATGAGGTAGGATGGATGCGATGCTCAGAAGTGTTCTCAGAACAAAGACAGTCCTGGAGTTTCCCTAGAGAGGACATTGTGGGATACAGTGAACAACATTCCTAAGAATAGCAACACAGTGTCGGCTGGGCCTGTCTGAGAACAGCTTTTGAGACAGACTGACGTCATAACACACATTCCAGGGAGTTCAAGAAAAGCAGGTGTGCGGGAGCCAGGCTCTGCCCTTCAGGCTCAGCTGTCCATCCTCTGATTGGATTTAGTCCAGAAAGATATTTTAGAGCAGTGTTCAAACTGGGGGTTTTTTTGTTTGTTTTGTTTTGTTTTAGCTGAGCCACGCTGCCACATGTTGGCAGCTCAGCGGCAGCTCAGCTCGGGCTGGGCATCGAACTGCTGTTGCTCAGAGCTCAAACCTTTGAGCGAGTTCTTAACCAACTGAGCCACTCGGCCGGCCCTTCCATTATGTTTTATACGCCAAGTTCTTCAAGAGATTTTGCTTGGGTAAAGGGGTTCCGCTACCAAAATAAAGCGGGGGGAGGAGATTGTTGGTTTAAAACCACTGCTTTATAATATCTGGGAATTCGGATGATGGTGACTGTCTTCTGAGCTTAGTTCCTCTCAACCAAGTTTGTGATAAGTATTAAGTAGCTGCAAGTTCAAGGCCTTCTCCACAGAACATGCCTGGAGAGCAACTCAGTTAAATACAGACCCACAAGCCTTCATAGACAGTCAGTCGCTCTGAGAGTAGAGTCAGCATCTTTTTGTAAGAATGAAAGAGACTTACAAGCACCTAAACCCCTGTCCCAAAAGACGGCCTTACTTCCTCCATGAGTTTTGTGAGCGTCCAGTAGGGCTGCCAGATTTAAAAGGGGCAAAACTAAACAAAACACAACAGGATGCCCAGTTAAATCTGAATTTCAGATAAACAACAGTTATTTAGTATAACTATTTTAGTATAGCAAATATTGCATGGGACCTACTACACTAAAAAATTATTTGGTTTCATTCTGAAATTCAAATTTAACTGGGCATCCTGCGTTTCAACTGGCAACCCCACCAACAAATATTTACTGAGCACCAACTACCCTATTTCCCCGAAAATAAGATCTAGCCAGACAATAAGCCATAGCTTGATTTTAGGTGCCAAAATATGGCACCTCGGCATACTGAATATTTTAAGCTCTGTGTTTGTGGAAAAGGCACCCTTCTCCCTGAAACTGGTCATAAAACCCTTATGAGGTGCATGCCCTCCATATCCTGGAGGAATCATGCTACAGCTTCTTCTCTGGCGAGGTCTTATTTTCAGGGAAACACAGTAAACGCCAGGGCTGTGAAGCAAATGTTGCAAGATGGCAGCCCACAAATGTATTTAATTTGGTTCATGGGATTTTTTTTTTAAGTAACATTTCAAAATACGGCACTTTCACAGGATATTCTGGATTTGCGGCTTCTCTGGGAAACTCGGAAGATGTGGCGACACTAAGCCCACAGTCCCACAGGTCGCCATTTTCCAGGCCCTTAGAAAGGTGCTGGGCTCGTGGGTTCACTGCCATCGCCACCGGGCTCACTTCACCCACTTTTTTTTTTTTTTAAGATTTTTATTGGGGAATTGGGGGGATGGGAACAACGCTGGGGGCCACTCGGCCGGCCCCCACTTCTTTTACTTCCCTGGCCCCTGTAGGCAGCAGGTTGGTGGCCCCAGTGGATGCTCAGGGCTTCCTGAGAACATCCCCCTCCCAACGCCCCTGCACATTCACTTGTTGGTCCCAGCTCGCTCGCTCTCTCTCTCTCTCTCTCTCTCTCTCTCTCTCTCTCTC